GAAAGAACAAAAGAAGTTTGCTCTTCAAGCTAAAGTCGAAGAGTTGGAGGCTCAAAACAACAAGATAACGATGAAGAATGAGATCCTCTATGAGCAATATGAGAAGGTCTTTGAGATGTTCCACGAGGCTAGGCATACTTAAACACACGAGCTTATCACCCTTGTGGAAGTCAACCATCATCTGAGTGCCCTTCAACACGGAATGTCACCTGCCTTCGACATGGGTATTCCTGATAAGGAACGAGCTACTAATTAAAATGTCGATCAACATGAGATTTCTCTCAACCCAGCTGCTTCAACCCAAAGTAGAAAAAGTAGAGGAAGACACCTCCTTACAGAATGAGTGGAAGGATCGAAATCTATTTTTTGTGACTGTCGAGACTTCTTAAAGCAACGTCGAGAAAATCTCATCCACGTAAGCTTGAAGATCAATGACCCAAGGGTCTCTGAAAGACTCGGTCCCTTCCACGACGCAGGCCAGCTGCCAATCTAGGGAATGAGCGACATGCCCCAGAGGAATATGAAGGTACATGAGACTCAGAAGTATTCTGGCAAACTCACCCTAGAAGTCAATATGGCGAGTCTAAGGAAAAATCACACACTCTTGATCAAACTTTCCTACTTCCAAGAGGCAGTAGAGACTTATAAAGAAAACTCCAGTGGTACATGACTCCATTCAGGACCCCCTTGTCCTACAGCTCCTTGAGGAAGTAAACAAGTTGAAGGCTAAATGTCAGGACGAGATACCTGACTGGAACCAACCCAGGCTTGGCTCTCTTACAAGGCGAATCCTCGACGCCCCCTTTAAGCGAAGACAAAGTAGAAACTCGGCTTACAACTCTATACTGGAAGGAAGGACCTGATTGAACACCTTAACCTCTTTAAGTCCACCATGGCATACCAGATGCACACCGATGAAGAACGATGTATTCTCTTCCCCTCCACCCTCTCTGGCGAAGCTCTAAACTGGTATTGCTGTCTTCCACCTGAGAAAGTAGACTCATTTGAGGAATTGAGGAAACTGTGTGTCTCTTAACACATCTTCCAGACTGATCGCCTACATTCTACAGATGACTTGTACACTATTCACCAAAAGCCAGACGAGTCACTACGAAAGTATGCCAGCCGCTTCAGCCATAAGTATTCTTGCTACGCTGAGGCAGATGACAAGATCGCCTTCAATGCCTTCACGACAGGTTTATGTGATTGTTTCTTCAAGTACATGATCAATGCCAACACTTGAAAGATTTACTCTGAGGTGATGGCACATGCTTATAACCATGCCTCTACTGAGGCAATGACATATCAAGGGAAACCCTCTACAGCCACCCCTTATCAGCAAGTAGAGAGTGAAAGCCAGATCCAACCAAATGAGAAGACCTCAACCTTCCAAATGGCAGCGGCGCCTCCCCGTGCCTTACTTAATGCTTCACCAAGTCAACAGACATATCAACCTCAGGGCAAAAAGAAAGATTTCCATCCTCACCAGTCTCATTTTAGTAAAAAGACTAAGGGGCACTATCGCGATAACCAAGGGTATTGCCACGATAATGCCCGTCCCTAAGTAGTCAACATAGTGGGCCAAACACGTGTCAAGACAGGCCTTACCCCAAGGTATGAGACATACACACCTTTGAACGCCACATGCATGGCCATTTACCCCAGTATAGCACACCTGATACCGAAGCCAAAGCTGATGCAGCTGGATTACAAGTCCACGAATAACATAGGCATATTTACTGCTACCATAAGTATAATGGCCATGGTAGCGAAAAGTATATCACCCTTCGTGATCATATTGAAGCTTTGGCATGTGAAGGAAAAATTGATCAATTCCCCATTCACCCTCAAAGGGATAACCGTAACCAACGCCAAATGAATGTGATATATTCCATAAGCGGCGGCACACCTATATCTGAATTTTCCAACAAGGCCATGAAAAATAGTGAACGAACTTTGAGGCCTGGCCACCAAGTGTTTCACGTGGAAGATATCAGGGGAGGCAAATATCGAAAGCCTAACTAGGATCCAATATGTTTCTACCCTGAGGAAGAAAAAGGTATCATCTACCATCACAACGACCACTGATCGTGGAATCTCACATAGCCAACTTTGACGTACGATGAATCCTGGTAGACACGGGTGCTTCGGTCAATATCATGTTTGCTGAAGCTTTCACGGCACTTAATGTAGCTGAACACTTGCTCGATTACTTGATTTCTCCTCTAATAAGCTTCTCCGGTGATATTGTGCAACCTTTAGGGAGCATAGACTTACGCTTCACCATTGGTACATGCCCTTACACAGCTACCATTACCACTAACTTTCTGGTGGTTGACTGCCCAACGGCATACAATGTCATCTTTGAGCTCATAGGCATCAGTGATCTCAAGGCCATGGTATCCACACATATGTAATTAATGAAATTTCCAACACCCTATGGCAATGGTTACATCATAGGATATCAACTTAGTGCACGATCATGTTACAACACTTCAGTTAAGCAACAACATATACCTGTGCCCAAGGAAACCCTTTCTATACATGACCAAGTTATAAAGACCAGCTCAGATAAAGCTAACTTGGATATTCATGGTGGCAACAGTCAACCTGACGATCTTCAAGATGACTTTTTCACCTAGCAAGCACAATCTGCTGAAGAGTTGGAGAAGGTCTCTATCTCAAAAGATTATCTGGATCGCATGGTGAAGATTGGCACCACCTTGTCACCACCCCTTCGATTGGCATTGATCTATTTTTTGTAAGAGAACATTGAGGTCTTCGCCTGGTCATACGAGGACATGCCAGGCATCTCTCCCGATATCATCTATCATATCTTGAGTATTGACCCCAAGACCAAGCTGGTGAGACAAAAACGAAAATCTTATGACGCTGAATGATACGAGGCAATGAAGGCAGAAGTTGAAAAACTCAAAAGCATAGGCTTCGTCCATGAAGTCAATTATCCAACGTGGGTAGCAAATGTGGTCATTGTTAAGAAAAATCCGACCAAGGAAAGTCTCTTGCTTCAAAAGATCTTATGGAGAATGTGTGTCGACTACACTGACCTAAACACAGAATGTTTGAAGGATAGCTTTCCCATTCCTCTCATCGATAGACTCATAGACTCTACAGCAGGGTGTAAACTCTTGAGCTTCATGAATGCTTACTTATGGTACAACCAAATCTTCATGAACCCTCCGTACCAAGAACACACGACCTTCACTACTGATAGAGGACTATATTGCTATAAAGTCATGCCATTCAGCCTAAAGAATGCAAGGGCGACTTATCAGAGTTTAGTCAATTCAATGTTCGCTGAACAGATTAGGAAGAGCATGGAAGTTTATGTTGATGATATGCTAGTCAAGAGCAAGTATGCTGACCAGCACATCACCAACCTATCTGAGACCTTCACCATCATGCAGAGGTATCGAATGAGGTTGAACCCCAACAAATGAGCCTTTGGCGGGGCTCTGGAAAATTCTTAGGCTTTATGATTAACTAACGAGGCATTGAAGCTAACCCCGAGAAGATCAAAGCAATCATTGACATGAAAGAACCAGTACCTTTAAAAGACATGGAGAACCTTACTAGCAGTATGGCAGCCTTGACCAGGTTCATTTCTAAGGCTACAGACAAATACGCTTCTTTTTCAAAGCACTTAAGGGAAGTAAGAAGTACATTAAATGGACTAATGAATGTGCTGAAGCATTTAAGAACCTCAAGGAGTACATGAGTAAAGCACATCTGCTCTCCAAACTTGAAGTTGGTGACACCCTCATTGTTTATATGTTTATCTCGGCCTCAGCAGTCAGTTCTGTTCTCATTCGAATAGATGGTAGTGTTGAACAGTTTGTCTACTATGCTAGCAAGGCTTTACAAGATGCAAAGACACGATACTCCAACATTGAGAAGCTAGCTCTAGCATTAGTCATGTCTGCTCGGAAACTTTACCCCTGCTTCCAAGCACACTTCATCATCGTACTTACCAATCATCCCCTTCGACAAATACTTCGGGACGAATGATCAAATGGGCAATAGCACTAAGTGAGTTTGACATCTCCTACTAACCAAAGCCAGCTGAGGAAGGGCAAGCAGTTGCAGGTTTCATCGCCGAATTCACTTATCCTGTTAACGTTGCTTCCACACCTAAACAGTGGCTCCATTCCCCCCAGAAGCTCGGAAGGTAGAACCAACATTCCTAGTATGGACTCTATATGTTGATGGCTCATCCAACCAACAGGGCTGTGGAACAGGACTAGTCCTGACTACCCTCGACAAAATGGCAATGGAGTACGCTCTTCGTTTCAAATTCAAGGCATCAAAAAATGAGGTCAAGTATAAAGCCCTTCTAGCAGGCTTACGATTGGCCAAACACCTTGGGGGTTAAACAAATTGATATCTTCAGTGACTCCCAATTAGTGGTCAACCAGGTCACGAACAACTTTGATGCTAAGGATAACTTTATGGTAGCATATCTTGCGCAAAAAAATTTTGCTCAAGCACTTCCACTACCAGATCACCCAAGTTCCTTGAGTGGCAAACAGTCATGCAGATGCTTTGGCTCGCCTCGCCTCGCCTCGCCTTGGCAGTGGAAGCCAAGATTGGGAGAAAAATTCATGTCAAATTATTGGCAACACCAAGCACCATGGCCGCGGAAGTATGCAACTTACAACAGGGGGATAGTTGGAGATGAACAAATAATCTCAACAGAATTCATGCTTTACTTTAATTATTATTTATATGCATGTGTTGCTCAAATAATCTCTACATAGTCAAAGTATTTTCTTCACCAACTTTGTAATCATAGAATATTTGATTTATTTTAATCTTAGTCTAGATATTTTTAATTGAAAACTTGCTTGGGTTTAGGAGAAAAGTATGTTGAAAAACGATTATAAATAAATACTTGTGGTTATTCACCTGTCATAACCTGTGACCATCTTTAGTCATTTATCTCAACAAATTCATTTGGGCTCTCATTGAGGCCGGGTCTCTGTTCATCTTCACCCGAAAAGCCCAACCACACCGACTTTACATTTTTCATTTTGGAGCCGTACGTTCATTTTGGCGGGAAAATCACAGATCAGCAGAAAGCGAAATCCAAAACCCCCAAATCTCCAATCGCACTCCGAGAACTGAACCAGCAGGCCAGGAACTGGAAAAGCTACCACACCATTGCTCCAATGGCTCCGAGAAAGAAACCCATTTCTTCCAACACGACGTCGTCTAAGAAATCCAACTCGAAAGCTCAGCCGCAGCCCTCCAAGTTCGGCATCCAACATTTTTTTGAGCGCCACACCCAGAACTCCCAGAAACCCAAAGAGGTCGCCGCTTCTTCCCCTCCTCAGAACCCTAAAACCCTAGCCGCCACCGTCTCCCCCACCGTTGCTCCAGTACAATCGGTTCCAAAGATCCGAAAGCCTGCTCAGATTGATGCGGGTAATGCGGTTTTAGCTTTGGTGAATGATGAAATTCAGTCGATTTCGCAATTGGGGAATAAGAATAGCATGTCGAAGTACACGCCGGAGAATTTGATGGCGGCTGGAGTTGGTGGTGATAAGGAGAATGTTGACGAGGAGGCCTCGCCGGAGATTTCAAAGTCTAAGTCTTTAAAGCGCTTCAAGTTTTCACCTGGAATGGTAAATTCTTAGCTTCAATTTCTCACAGAAATAATTTTATTTTCAATTATGTATTGTTTCTTATTGAAAGATAATTTCTTTATGCCACAATTGATGGAAATGCTTGTGTTTTACTTGTGAAACTTTGAGCAATGCTGATTTTATGGTATTTATTTGTGTAATTTGATTTTGGGAGTTTCGATACGGTGATAGTTGATTAAGCAGAGCCAAGATGACGGAGGCGATGAGGTAACATGGAGGATATCTCCGGTAAATGAAAGACTCCAAGCTGTTTCAAAACGCATGCCGGAGATTATTAGAGTGTTGGCTGACTCTTCAAGGCTTAAATCTTTAAGCATTAGTCAGTGCCCGCAAAACAAGGCATGTTTATTTTTTAGTTTTCTCTTCATTTCCTTCTTTTTTGTTTGTATTGTTGTCAGTGATTAATCAATGATAAATGTACAGACTTCTCCTGTTAAAGCTGTAACGGTTGAGAAGTGGATTCCCTCACGGACACCGAATACTTCTGATAGATCGTTGGTATCCCTGAATAGGGTTGGTGTAAAAAGAGTTAAACCAGACCAGGATATGGATAGTAATGGAGCTTTTTCAGGAATAGATAGTAGGCAGAGTCCATTCCGAACTCCACCTTCTCTACCGTACTGTCATGATAAGGTAACTGTGCTTTCAAACTGACCCGGTGTAATTATTTAAGATGTTGTCCGAACTTTTAAATTCATGGAAATGGTGAAAGCAAGAAACAAGAAGAAGAAATCTGTTCTGCTGTTTTGTTTACATCAGTCTTTTCCTATTTAATCTTTTCTTTGTCTGTACATTACAATCAATAGATAAAAAGAACATTCTTTTGATATCCTTTTTCTGTCTGCTAAGTAGAGGGTGTGGAATCATCTTTTTCTGATTGACGCTGTAACTGCAATGCAGCTTGCTAATGCATGTAATGGAGTTTCAGATCAGCCGGGGTTGAGGCAGCATAAAAAGGTTTGGATCAATAAAATTATTTACTTGACCAAGTTTGGACCATGCTATCATACTTAGATAAATCAATAGTTATGATCTGTATTCTTTTTCCTGGTTCAACTAAATAGATTATCTCATCAGTTATGTTTATAAAAAGCAATTAATCAGTTCATTTTCTAATCTGCAAGTTCGCTTGGACTTGACCTGTGTGGCTGGTATGTGTCAATTTTATCTTCTCAAGCCGTGGTGCTAATTAGAAATTCTTTTGGCGTATTTTTCTATTCTATTAGGCATTGCTTGAACTCTTAGATCAAGTGGAAGATGTTATTTCTGTTGAAGATTCAGTGTCTAGTGATGTGGAGGAATCTCCATTTCAAGTTGAAGATAAAAAAAGCAAGAGAATGTCTATCAGTTTGGATCACACAGTTAAAAGAGTAGAGACAGCTCTAACAGGAAAGGTTCTTCGGAAATCTTCATATTGTAGTTTTCTTGTATTGGAGGTATGGATTACTAGTTTAGTTTCTCTTTGAGAAAGAATAGTGGATTTCTTTAAAATTGGTTAGCAACTTTTTTTGTTGTTGCTTTCTGCTATAGGTATCTGAGAAGTGTGGAGATGCTGATTCATCTGGTGATCAATGCCTGTTTAAGGTTTCTAGTAAGCAAAATCTTAAATTTTTACTTTTGTTCTGTAGATTAGTAATGCTAATATAGATTATCCCATTGATTTGCAGGTTATAAGGTTACTAAATGAGCAAAGTGGAGAAGAGCGCTCTGTATATTTACGAGATGAGTGGTAAATTCAGGATTTTCTTGTTTTGTAGCACTTTAATACTTTATTGCTTCTTTGGAAATTATTTTCCAGTAATGTGGCATAATACAACAATTTCTTACAAGTATTATCTAGAGTGGTTATTTTTTCCCAAAATAGAAATGCACATTCTATGCGATTTAAGCTTGTTCCTGCTTGATAGGGAACTTTTTCTAATATTAACTAATTCCTCGAGATGGCTCTTCATGTTTTTTTGTGGCCTCATCTTTATAGCCATTTCCACCCCTATCATTTATGACTTGACTGTGATTAGAACTCTTCTGTAAACCTAAGGTACCAAGGTTCAGATTCTTGCTTGATTTATTGATCATCGGAGGGTCAAACTTGTAATAATGTTAAGAGGAGGAGGCCTGACATTTGTTTAAATATATTTGTATATTATCTGCAACGGATTATTGTCTGCATTGCCCAATTACTCTCTGGATATTTTGACAAGGCAAGGTTGAGTTGGGTGAACCTGGCCTCTTGTGTAATTATTATTTGAGAAGCATTGTGCTCTTTTATTTTTTGGATTTTGGGTGGGTGGGGGTGGAAGAAGGCAAAAACTTTATGTGTGTTGGCTGTAATTTGGGTGGTTTTACTATAGAAAATTGGTACAATTATTGAAGATAGGCTAGGGGATGAGGTGTCATCTTTATGGTCCTTAGTTTCCTCCCTTTTTAGGAACATTCCTTATAATATTCTTCATATCGATTGCATGCAGGAGCTGTGAGTTAATCTTAGTTTTGACCCTTTGCAGTCAGTTTGTATTTTAATTTGGATGTAATAGGCTACGTTTGTGTATTTTTGGCCTAGATTGTGGACCTCTGGTGAAATCAAATTATTTAACTTTACCATAATGTTTTTGTTTTCTTCATTAAATATTAGTGTCTTAGAGATTTGTACATATGGGGTGAAATTGAATGCTCTTGGTTTGACAGCAAAACTAGTAAATTCAAATTCAAATTCTTCTTGATTTCAAAATATGATTTTTAATAATGTCGCTCTCCTATTCTCCATTATTTTCTCAGGTTGTACAGTGTCATTGCTCCTGGAGATACTGTCAATGTTATTGGCGAATTTGATAACCAAGGACAGTGTCATGTGGATCGTCACAATAATTTTATAATTGTTCATCCAGATGTTTTGGTGTCTGGAACTAGGGTACTACTTCTTGCTTGTTCATTTATCCTTTACATGTTATTGACATTGTTTTTGTTATGATTTCTCTGATATTTTGTCCTTAGTTTTGTAGTTATTTATTGCCCTACTTGGTCCTAATAATTTGAAACACTTTTAGGTTACAGCTAGCTTCATTTGCCCTAGGCGAACTGTCCTGGATGAAAGACTAAAATCCAATGAGCATTCAACTGCAGCACTAAGTGGTACAATATTGCATCGAGTTTTTGAGGTATCAAAACCACCCTATGACCTTGTAAATTTTTTAATGTATATGGAGTGTGTCATGCATCTTTTTCCCATGAAATAATTTGTAATATTTGCTCATCTATATCGTGTGAAATTTCTTTGTTTCTGTAGGCTGGACTTATGAAGGAGATACCTACAGTAACTTTCTTGGAGGAACGCACAAGAACGGTGCTCCAGAAAAACCTTGAGAACTTGTATGCTTGTGGAGGTTAGAATTTTTTAGATTTTACTTTGAAATAATTTCTAATTTCTATGTCATCATCATTCAGGTTAATTTGAGCGGGACTAGTTTTCCTAATGTTTCATCAGTCAGTTTTATGGATCTTAGTCAAGCTTCTCTTCCCCTTCATGTGAACTTTGCAGTGAACGAAAATGATATGTACAAAACATTGATCGAGGCTGTCCCCAAAATACTGAATTGGGTTAACCTCTTCAAAAATTCCCAGGTGCGCCCATTTTGTTTATATTGATTTATTTTTCTTTCTATTTTCACAATTCAGGTGAAGAATTGTTTGACATTTTGCTCCTTAAAGCAACAGTAGAGAGAGTAGGGTTATATTCTAAGGCGAATGGTATTGTGGCAGGGTTCAAAAGCTCCTTCTGTTGATTTTGGATCTGACATTGGGGTGAAAAAGGTCAAATTATCTGAGGCAAGGCATCACACTTGATCTATTTGTGGATAATTGGTTGTTCTATGTTATAAATTTCTTGTATCCATAGATGTGTTTTCAATGTATCTACCAGTTTAAAGATCATTTACGTGGGATTCATGTGCCATACCCTTTATATGGAAGCCTGCATGAATTGGTAGCTTTGTGAGTTTGAAAGTTGACTGGTTTTCCTATTATTGCAAAGTATTTTTCATTGCATGCACCCTCCTGAGTTTGAAAATTGTCTTCTACATGTATCTGCCGATCGAAAGCATACATGGTTAGATGAAGTCTGTGTTTGTAAACATGGTCCTAGTTTTCAATTGTATGTTATGTGCTATTCCATAAGTCACATGTACTCATTTCAGGAACAATAGGTCATCTCTGAACTATGTCTATTCTGTAGGTAATTGATATTGAGGAGATGGCCTGGGCTCCAAAATATGGTCTGAAAGGCCAGATTGATGCTTCTGTCAGAGTGGAAGTTGAATCTAACAGTGGTGAATCTCATGAAAAGGTCATGCCTTTAGAGTTCAAAAGTGGGAAAGTACCAAAGGGCCAGGCAAGAATAGTCTTTACTAGTTCACTGAAACTCGTCTAGAATGATCTTAAACTTGAGTCATGTTTAACATTGTAATAACTTATGTTGCTTAAAGTTTCTCTTTTGAATTTTGGGTCATGGTTGTTATATGTGCAGTCGTCTATGGAGCATAGTGCCCAAGTGATCTTATACACTCTCCTCATGTCGGAGAGGTACTTTTAGTTTTATTTATCTCTATTTTTTTTTGGCTTCCATGGGGCCAGGCCTTTGTACAAGTCCATATTGATATCTTTTGAGAAAACTTTATTTAATTTGCTATGTGTCTCTTGTATTCAGGTACCAGAAGCATGTCGATACTGGTCTCCTATGTTATCTGCAGTCAGATCAGACACAGGTAGTCTGGAATGCACCTGCATCATGTATTTATGTAGACTTAAATGAATTTATCTTGATAAAATAAATAAAACAGGGGATTGTTGCTAGAAGATCTGACCTAGTTGGTCTAATCATGCGACGTAATGAACTTGCAAATGATATCCTCAAGGCATCACAAACACAAGTACTGCCCCCAATGTTACAGGTATGACGGTTGTTGTAGTATGAACAAAAAAAAAATTCAGAGAACTCTTTACTGGGCAGATATTTTAGATTCTTTCTGTTTTTGTTCTTGTTCGTGCTGTAGTGTCAGAGCATTTGTGGAAGTTGCCGCCATCTAAATGTTTGTACTGTCTATCACAAGGTATTTTCTATTTATTCTTGTAATGTTTTGTCAAAGCGTGGATAGTCATTGCTAATTAGGAGAGCAAACAAATTGTTACTTCATAAATTGTTCAAGTTTGGCTCATATTCATTAATTTGAATTTTGAGCTAAAACCAATATTTATTTCTTCTGATCTTAGTTATCTTCAGCTTCTAATCTTGCGGCCCTTTCTCTCCCTCTGAGTGTGTATATATATAGATTGGTTTCTGTTTGGTTTAACTGACAAAAGAAAAGATGATTAATGAGATCTTTCAAACCTTTGCCTACCCTTGTCAGCAGAAATGCAACATTGATTTTACTTTTAATTGGGATTCTTAAAAGCACTTTCCTTTTTGGGTAGTGCTATCCACACACCCATTTTTACTTCTCAGACACCCTTCTCAATTTTCGGCCATTGGATCGAATGAATTGAAGAAGATCAATGGTCGAAGATTAACAAGGGTGCGTGGGAGGTAAAAATGGGTGCGTGAATAGCACTTTCCTTTTTAAGTAGGTAGTAAACCACCATGTTTCTATTCTTTTTTCTCAGTTTTTTGTATGATTTCAGTTACTATGTACTTGATTATTCAAAATCTTAATATACTGCATACAATCTGTAGATCAATTTTGTCATGTGATGTTTACATGACTGATTAGTAACCCTAACTATATGTCTTACTATTATTTGAATCCTTGAAATCTCCATGTGATCAGTAAATTGTTGCAACCTTTCCTGTTGACTTTTTTGTGCCCCCTGCCATTGACAATATTACAATTATTTTGTTCTTTAGGCCTCTCAAGAAATTGACTGATGGAGAACCTTAGTTCTACTTTATGTTTCAGTGCTACCCTTGACAATCATTGACATAACCAATCTTCAATGTTGATGGGAATGGAAACTAATTTAATCCCGTTGCCATCAAGAAATTTGGGCAACACTTTCTATATCACATCAGCAGCTATAAGCTACTAAGAATAAGTAAATATAGCCTTCATTCAGTTTGTAATTCAAAAGATTGTAAATAGAAAGATCACTAGATCTAGCTTCCTTTCATTGGAATTTATAATTACTAACGCCAACCCTTGCAACATATGACCGAGGGACCTATCTCCGATTTTACAGAGTTTCCACATCCCTCATGATCCATGTAAAATATTAAGTTTAAAACTAGGTTTCCCATGAAAAAAGTTGCATAGTCACACAGGAAACCCCAATATAAGCAAGATATTCATTACCATAATACTATTCATACTTTAAGAAGTGTTATATCATTATCCATTACTATAATTCTATTCATACTTTAAGAAGTGTTATATCATTGGTCATCATCTTTAATTCCACAGGTACATGGTGGAAGCACAGAGAGCAGCGGATTGGCAGATTTGTTTGATTCAAATACTCAGTACCTAACAAATGCTCATGGTGTTTTCTTAAGGCTGTGGGATGGGTTGATTGATTTGGAAGCTAAAGAGATGCAGGTGCATTTTGAAGTCACTAATTGCAAAGTGTATAAATGTCTAACTCCTAAGATTAGTTTATTTGATATGCTAACGTCTTTTCTCTTGTTTGAAAATTTATCTGTTTCAGCTTGTAAAGAATGAAATTTGGCGGTCACATAGCTCCAATAGTGATTATGCCACTGGTTGCCTTTCTTTTATTGTTCTTGATGGTGATTCTCCATGTTCAGCATCCGGAAAAGATAGCAGATTTGTTTATCGTTTTTTGCGTAACAGTTTTCCTTCTCTCAATGGGAGGACATCTGATATAGATTTTTCAAGCGCCAGTTCTTCAAGAAAAGATATAGATTGCACACTAAAATGTGGTGACTTTGTGGTATGTTTTACTTTCATAATGTGGTTTTTGGTAGTTCACATGGAAGCTGATCGTTTGTACTAGTTTAACATAAAATTCTTACAGTAGCTGTGGATTTTATGTACTTGAAGTTGTTTCCATGGAAATATCTAAAGAACATGTAATGTTCATGATTCATTAATCAAGAATCTTTTTCTCTATGACGTACATTTTTTATTGATGACTGTTTATTGCTCTATGGATTTAGATATGTAAGATGTTCAGATATTTTGTTAAGATGTCCAGGCTAAGTAGTTACACGTGATTGTGTTTTATGGTGACCTGTTCTTTTGATATTTGATAACATAACAACAATTATTGGGTATTGACTAAAGATATAATAAACATTAACAATGTTACAACAAAATTCTAGCTATGAAATCAATCTGATACATTTCATATGTTTGAGTGTTTCTCGGTACATAATTACATATGCAGGCACTTCTTGCAAGTCTATCACTGTTTAGTATATACTTCAACAAAAAGGAAAATTCAAAGCCTCTTCTGCCCTCATTTCCTTCTCTCCCCCAGTCTCTGGAGTTTTTCTTTGCTTTAGAAAAAAAAAATCAAATATAAGTTGGAAACAAAACTATCAAACAGTAATAAAAATCTTTTTGAAATTTATGCCTGTTTGAATTCTTTTTCTTTTTTGGATGGCATTTCTTGTTGTGCACACTAATATTGCAATACTTGTTTAGCTTTCCAGTGACCAGTCATTCCCTAAGAACTTAATCAAGTTAATAAAGTAATCAATTAATTATATTAATGTTCAAGGGTTCCAAGAAGTTGCACTTGTGCATGCATGCATGCTTCTTGTATATGCAAGCTAGTTGTGAGTGTGATTGTGTTTCCCCTGGTACGCTTTTTCTTTTATCCTCACTAACAATTTATTAATCACTGGTTATTTGTTTATTGTTTAGATACTTAGCAGCGAATCTGGTAGTCTACCTGTTGCAAGCGGAATCATAATGGATATAAGTCAATCCCATGTTTCTGTAAGGATAATATCTGTCATGTTTCCTGTTCATCTGTACTACTGTAAGCCCAAATCTGGTGTATTAGTGCTTACCTGACCTTTAAGCGGATGTGCTAATATAGCTGATGAATGCTACAGTGGAAAATCTAAACTTAATGATCAAATCAATTTTGTAAATTCTAATATTTTCTGCAAAACTCTAGGTTTCTTTCTCTAAGCACTTACGACTTCCTTGGAGCAATCCTTCAGAGGCAAGTGATCTCCTTCAGGAGGTCTGGCGTGTTGACAAAGATGATTTCGTGACATCATTTTCAGTAATGAGGTACTACACTCCTGAACCATTCTGAGAAATTTCCATATCCAAACTTTTAGAATACTTCTCTGATCCTGTCTAAGTTCATGCTCCTTGTTGCTGAAGGTTTAACCTTGTTCAACTTTTTCTTCAAAGTACACAAGCTGCTCACCTTAGAAAGATGATTGTTGACCTAGAAGTAAGTTTTAGTGAATTGTTTTCTATCAAATTCACCGTCTTTTGTTAATTCTAACTTGCTTTTCTGTTGTTCTACATTTATGGATTCTTTTTAGGCTCCTAGGTTTGACAATGGGTCTCCACTCAGCCAGGATCCAGCAATATCCTATGTCTGGTCCCAGAGAAATTTAAATGATGATCAGCGTCGAGCCATTCTTAAGGTTTTCTATACATCTACCATTTTTCCATAATACGTTTCGATCTTCCCGCAGAAAGTCTGTATCCTGAGGCTAAAATTGTTTGACACTAATCTTCCAGTTATCTATTGACTATGGACATTTACTAATTCAACAAATATCCAGATACTTACAGCAAAGGACTACGCTCTTATACTAGGAATGCCTGGAACGGGCAAGACATCCACCATGGTGCATGCTGTGAAAGCTCTGTTGATTAGAGGTTCATCCATTTTGCTTACATCCTACACAAACTCCGCTGTTGATAATCTACTTGTCAAATTAAAGGCTGAGGTCATATCTATTTCACATCCATTGATAAGCATGTTTTTTCTATCATTATTATTTGTTCTTGTTCATAGCAATTTTTTCCACCACTCAAATTTAAAGGGCTGCAGTTACCGTTCACCATTGGGCACAAACTTAATGTCTCTTTTTGTTCTATATTTGTGGGTGTATAGTTTACCCATTCTGAGTGACATATCTTCTGTGAAACACTCCTTTGGGTTTTTTTTGTATTGAATATAAAGCATGGCAGGATATTGATTTTATACGCATTGGAAGACATGAAGCTGTGCATGAAGAAATTCGAGGCCATTGCTTCTCAGGTCAGATTTTATACTATTGAGAGAATTTTCTTCAGTAGCTCACTTAATTCTCAACATTTTAACGGTGGTTTCTGTGACAGAGATGAACATTCAAACTGTGGAAGGCATTAAGTTAATATTAGACCAAGTCAAGGTGGTTGCCGTTACATGCTTGGGGATCACCAGCCCCTTGCTTGCCAATAAGAGATTTGATGTATGCATCATGGATGAAGCTGGACAGACCACCCTTCCAGTACGTACACTTTCTGATGGATATCTTGACCTGCAGTTAGTGTTTATGTAACTAGAGGCAGATGTATATTAAGCTATAACATGGAGAAAGTTAGCAAATATGTGGTGAAGACCAAATTGTAGCACTTAATGATTTGGTAATTAATTCCTTGTCAGTGGTTAAGTTGAACTCATCAAATTATCCTTCCCTGATGTTATGTCATGTTGCAAGTATAGATTTATAATAAAGGAAAAAATCTATCTAATGTTGTTTTGTGTGTTAAATTAGTTGGAATTGCGCTTAGATGGGTTGAATTTATATTCTCTCTTTTGGGATTTTGTTTAGCTTTAAGTGAAGGTTGAAGTCACTTGTTTATCCAGAACCTTATCAAAGGCAGTGGATTCATGAGCAATTTTCTGTTGTAACAGGTGTCTCTTGGGCCTCTGATGTTTGCTTCAAAGTTTGTCCTGGTTGGCGATCATTATCAGTTACCTCCTCTGGTCAAGGTGTATATCATTGCATGCCTGTAGGGTCTAATTGGTTGTTATGCTCTGAACTGTGGCTTAATGAAATGCCCTATGCTTTTTTATTTCCAGAGTACGGAGGCTCGAGAAAATGGAATGGGGGTAAGCTTGTTTTGTAGGCTTTCAGAAGCGCATCCTCAGGCAATTTCAGCCTTGCAAAGCCAGGTTATTATATTCACTATATTCATTTGCTATTGTATATAAATTTTGGCACTCTTCTGTAGAAGTGATATTTACCAAACTGTTTGCATCCAGTACCGTATGTGTCGAGGCATTATGGCACTGTCAAATGCCTTGATTTATGGTGATCGATTGCGATGTGGCTCTCCTGAAATAGAAAATGCCAAACTCAAGGTTTCAAGTTCAATACCTCATTCATTTTGGATACAGGAGGTAAGAGCAATTTTCAAAGGAATCCCATATTTCTATTGAAATGTATAAGTTTATTCATGATGTGCACTTGCGTAAAGAAGTATACCTATATCCTTGTTTGTTCTACTCATAAGCGGTAATAGTAGATACATTTGATATCAAAATTCCCATTCAGTTTATAGCGTCTTTCTTCCAGATAAATCCATACAGGTCATCTTCCTTCTTGTTGTGGGCATTGGAAACTATTGATATATCATGTAAAAGAATTATGACTGGATGTTCATTACTACTACTGGTTAGCATGTTTAAAAATTAGATTGTGCTTAGGGAAAAACGATTTCCAATTTGGTTGAATTCATGATGATATGATTTTGTCACAGATTGGATTCAAGTGATTCACATTTTATGGCTTGCCGAAAACTTGTGCGATGAAATTGTGGTTTTGTCAAACTTTGATGCATTTTTTGTGTGTTTTAAAACTTGGTTGCAGGTTATAAACCCAAGCAAGCCAGTTATATTTATTAATACAGGTTTGTTGAAGTACTATTATCTGTTTGACATAATCTGTTCTGCTATATAAGCAGTGTTGGTTGTTTAATATAATCACTTTTAAGAATGTAGATTCTTTACCTGCTTTTGAGGCAAAGGATCACAAGATTGTGAGTAACCCGACGGAAGCTAACATAATTGTACAGGTTAGATCTTCGCTTGAATATATATATACACATAATGCAATCATCCTTTTTCCCAAGAAAATATGTTTCTGATCTGATGCAAACCGTTGAAGTAGCTTGTGTTAGCTAAATAAAAATTTCATTTTGCTTTTAGGTTGTGGAGGGACTAGTCAAGAGTGGAATAAAGGGGGAAGATATTGGTGTCATTACCCCATATAACTCCCAGGCAGAGATCATCCGGCTTGCCCTCAGCCGCCTGACCTCTGTTGAGATACATACCATTGACAAATATCAGGTCCGGGTGAATTCTATGCCAATGTTATTGTTTTCTTTATCTAACTATTCGTTTCTTTGAAAGCAGAAGGATGACATGACATGGTTATATCTAATTTCAGTTGTCCTTGTTTTTTATCCAGGGAAGAGACAAGGATTGTATACTAGTGTCCTTCGTTAGGTCAATGGAAAATCCCACGAATTGCTCCTCCTCGCTGCTTGGAGACTGGCATAGGATTAATGTAGCTCTCACTCGTGCCAAGGTAAGAATCACATCAGTTTGGCCTTCGCATTCGATCATGTTCTGATCTGAATTTGGAGATTTTCTTATGTTTTCAGAGTGACCAAACTGAGTAACATGTTTTTCGTTTTATTTTGGTTTGCTTCTGTAGAAAAAGTTGGTAATGGTTGGATCGTGCAAAACCCTATCGAATGTTGTGCTGTTGAAGCTTCTTATCGAGCAAGTTGAACAACAGTCGGGCATCTTAAATGTATCGAACAAGGATATTAAGTTTAAAAGAGAGTTAAAGAGATGCTCTCAGGCTCAGGCTCAGGCCAGATAGATGATTGATTGTAAACTTTCCATCCTGTCCGTCCAGTTTTGGTTAGTGGCTGTACATATGCTGCTGATGTATCTGTAGTAACCTTGAAAGTTGTACATATAGAAACGTCACTCTCCCTCTGAGGCATTTTTTTCAAGATTTAGAATTATAGGCCACTCGACGCCTCCATGATTGCTCAAACTGCCCGTGAATATGCTCGGAAACCCCCTCTCGAGTTGCTGACATTCTAAATTTCAAAAACTTGGGGTAAAACCCTCGTATTTCTCTCCAGCATCGGCACGAAAATGATCTTGTCAAATTTCTTTGTGTTCTAGTCACGTGTATGACACATATCCCTCAAGCACAACATACTCATTTGAAATCTTAAGCTGCAAATTCTTCACTTTTACTCTTTCCCTCGGACTCTTCAATGCAACAGGGTCCCTCTTGTATCAAGAGCTCATAATTACCCATGTGCGAGTGACTGACTGAGTCTATAGCATAATTCTAAACTAAAAGTAGTCAACGAGGTTGGCTCGGTTGGTAAGGTCCCTACCTTGTGTGTCACCCCACTAAGGTTTGAATCTCGCTGCCAGTAGTTTTTGTTAATGCGCAATCTGTAAATTCCTATGTAAATTCATTCCTGTGGCAACTCGCAGTTAGGTGCCACGTGTAAGTCCTTCCAGCTTGAGGTTGTGGGTATGCCCTAGCACTGGTGGTGAGAGTAACCAATCTTCCCTTAAAACTTTTAAGTTTAAAAAAAATGCAAAATAAAAGTGGAGTGCAAGGGGTTGGTAGCTCTACTGGCAAGGATTTTGAGTTCGATTCTTCCTTTCCCCATATCGCTTGCATCAGTAGTGGAGTGCATCTGGTCTCCTAGCTATCATTTTACTTTATACAAATGATGTTCTAAGTTGCAGAGAGGAAAATTCAAACTCAGGTGCATAAAGAAAGCATATCTCCTACACCCATGTATGCCCCAACCATCACTTACAAGTCAAATTTTATAAGGCAAACACAGATGATGAGTATTTGACTATGAAGACAGTACGATGCAACTGGAGGGGCACAACTATCATAAGGCAAATACAGATGATGTTTTTTATGTCTCCAACAGTTTCTTTCACCTGCAATTCTACAAAATTCAGGTGAATTTCAATACAAAATCTATCTTCATTCTCCACACAAGTACAATAGTAGTGAAAAGAATCATAGAGGCACTGATCCGTAAAATACGACTTCAGCTGGGCCTGTCATGTAGATGTGATTGTTCTCCTCTCTCCACTCAATCTGCAACGGCCCTCCCGGTAGATCAACCGTGCAGTTCTATGTCCAAAAGATAAGCATACAAAAAGATCAAGTAAAAACACTAGGGTAACGATTTAACAATAAAGCAAGAGGTAAAAAAGAAGAAATTTTGTGATATAGTAATTTGATTGAAACGACATGGATGGAGGCAGACAACATTCACTTCTCAACAAATTATATCCGTACTAAAGTATTATTAAAGTTGGGAAGTAAAATGTTGCACACTAAACTTTCCTCACATTATCTTTACAAAATCATGTGGCTTTTGCAGGGTGGGTACTGCTTATAGTTATGGGCGGCTTATCACGCTTCTAAAATTGACCAACGTAACGTGACAATGTAACATATAGTGATGTGGATTCATAAGCTTACTGAAACTATAACTATAGTATGTATGGCAGTCCTCTTCTGTCTTCTTAAAATTGAACACTAAAAACTGATAGACCAAAGGGGAAACCTCATTTTCATGTGCAATAGATAAACATCTATATTTTTTTTTAACTATATTCAACATAAAAAAGAAGAAAGCCAAAACTTACTCGCTCAGCACGACCTTCAAGAACTGTGGCAACCACTACAGCACAAGCTCCAGTTCCGCAAGCAAGTGTTGCTCCTACAATGCAAAATAATTATACTACCCATTAAAACAAGCTCAAATGGATTTGGTATCAGATCACAGTATAATAACTTCTTTTGGTTGCAACAGAACTAACCCGCCCCACGCTCCCAAACACGCATCTTTAGGTGCGAATGAGTGAAAACTTGCACAAATTCTGCCAATCAGAATCAAATAAGAGTTATGAATACAAAATAAACTTGAGAATAATTATAAATTTTGAGACTTAAGTTGACAAGACAGGAACAAAGGATCGAAACAAGTTTGACTGAAAACAACAAATCTTGTAACTTTATTTCAAGCTGCTAAGCGAGAGTGAAGACAGAAGCTTGAAGCACCCATTACCATATTTGGATAGATATCTTATCACATAATTTCTTTACAAATTTGAGGCATTTCAGATCATAGAAGTTATGAGTAGTGTTTTCCAATAAATATACCAATCTAATTTTGTAAATTCAAAGAAAAAGGTGTCACAGAATTTTTTTAGTACGTCTTTTTCAACGTGTATCTCAAAATGGCCACCACAAGCAAGAAATATTCAACAATTTTAAACCGAAAGATACCAGAAATTTCAAAGTTCAAATTAATGCACTGTCAATCCTCATTCACTGTCAAAAGGTGTAAGCAATGGACAATCAACAAAACGGAAAAAGCCCATCATCTATAGCATGTAAACTGTGGTCTTACACTAACAATATGCCATCTCTAACTGCTTCCAGAAAAAAAAGCATGTCCACAGACAAATAAATTCTAACCTGTGTTAGTTCGTGCTGGAAACACCTCATGATTCTCAAACTTGGGACCAATTTCAGCCAACTTCAATTCATCAACCTTCAAATTCTGTTCAATTCCAACAAAAAGCAACAAGTCACAGGTGGAAACTATTACAACAACAACAACAACAACAAAGCCTTTTCCCACTAAGTGGGGTCGGCTATATGAATCCTAGAACGCCATTGCGCTCGGTTTTGTGTCATGCCCTCCGTTAGATCCAAGTACTCTAAGTCTTTTCTTAGAGTCTCTTCCAAAGTTTTCCTAGGTCTTCCTCTACCCCTTCGGCCCTGAACCTCTGTCCCGTAGTCACATCTTCGAACCGGAGCGTCAGTCGGCCTTCTTTGCACATGTCCAAATCACCAGAGCCGATTTTCTCTCATCTTTCCTACAATTTCGGCTACTCCTACTTTACCTCGGATATCCTCATTCCCAATCTTATCCTTTCTCGTGTGCCCACACATCCCACGAAGCATCCTCATCTCCGCTACAAACCCATTTTGTGTACGTGTTGATGCTTCACCACCCAACATTCTCTGCCATACAACATCGCTGGCCTTATTGCCGTCCTATAAAATTTTCCCTTGAGCTTCAGTGGCCTACGACGGTCACACAACACGCCGGATGCACTCTTTCCATCCAGCTCGTATTCTATGGTTGAGATCTCCATCTAATTCTCCGTTCTCTTGCAAGATAGATCCTAGGTAACGAAAACGGTCACTTTTTGTGATCTTCGCTAGATTGCTCCGGTCATTAGTGTGGATAAGTATATAAATGGATAGAGATAGGAAAGCAAACACAAGATGTACGTGGTTCACCCAGATTGGCTGCGTCCACGGAATAGAAGAGTTCTCATTAATTGTGAAGGGTTTACACAAGTACATAGGTTCAAGCTCTCCTTTAGTGAGTACGAGTGAATGATTTAGTACAAATGACATTAGGAAAATATATTGGGGAGAATGATCTCGTAATCACGAAACTTCTAAGTATCGGAGTGTGGTGTCGTCTTGACTTGCCTTATCTGTCTCATAGGTAGATGTGGCATCTTCTCTGGAAGTACTCTTCCTCCATCCAGGGGTGGTATCTTTAACTGGTGAAGATGCACAAGGTAATGTATCAATTTCACTTGAAGCTTAATTGTAGTTTCAGGCTTGGTCAAGCGCGATACAAACCATGTAGTAGGAGTCCCCCAAGTCGCCGAGCTAGGGGGTCTGCTGAAAGAGGTGACAGACAAGGTAAGCAATCAGAGCTCCGACTGATTGTTCACCTTCTCCCCATCTTGCAGCAGCATGAAGGATAAAGAGAAGAAAAATGAGAAGAGATGATATGAGATACTTTTGCTTTTGAAGAAGTAACTTTCCACAGGCTTATTCTTGAACTGAGCTGGAGGGTTTTCTGGTTTCCTCCAGAGTATAAGGCCGACTGAAGAATTTGAGGGTCAAAAACAAGTCCATCAAATCTAGAGTACGTTCCACCCTGCTGATATGGGATACTTTTGCTTTTGACAGAGTAATGGATGTATCGGCACGTGTGCTGTTACGCTTGTCTCCACATGCTTCCTTGTATCCTTTGCACTTGCCCTATCTGTTCCTCAAGTAGATGCGGAATCTTCCCTGGAAACATAAGATGATGAAGATGAGTACTCGAGAGCAATGCCAGGTAAGTAATCAGGTAAGGGGTTCCAGGCAGTCAGTTCCTGGCTGGAAGCTTGATTCCAAGTGCTGACTGATTGCTCTCTTTCTCCTTGTCTTGCAGGTAAAAAACAAGGCCAAAAGAAAAAACAGGGAAAAAAGCATGATATGGGATACTCTTGCTTTTAACCCTGATGATATGAGATATTCTTGCTCTAGTATAGCTTGTTTGCAGAGGTATTATCGGGGGAAAGAAAGCTGAATATTTCGAAAGGCTTTGTTGGGAGTGCCCTCTCAGATATGATGAAGGGTTGAGCATTTTTGCAGGTCTGCCTGTCCGTTGGGGATGGAGGTCGACATATATAGGAGTCTCCCTAACAACAAGTAGTAATGCTATTCCTTTACCCTGCTTGGTCATAGCACGGTAGTGGGAGTTGCCAGTTTCACATGTTTTAACTCTGTCAGAGCACTTTTGAAAAAAGTGGTCTGTGGTATCTGGCTCTCGAGATTCGGAGAACGATGCCTCTTCGATTTTTGAGAAAGCAATCATGCTGGGGGTCTGACTCTCGAGATTCGGAGAGCAGTGTCTCTTCGATTTTTGAGGAAGTAATCATGTTGGGAGTCTGGCTCTCGAGATTCGGAAGGCGGTGCCTCTTCGATTTTGGAGCAAGCAATCTTGTTGGGAGTGTTGTCTCGAATGTGAGTAAAGGTTGGACATGTTTGCTAGTCTACCTTGCCACGAAGCACAAAGGTTGACACACAGGGACTTTCCAATTATCCAGCAATGGTACTGTTCCTTTACCCTCTCTTCGATTTGAGAGAAGTAGTCATGTTGGGAGTCTGGCTCTCGAGATTCGGAGGGCGGTGCCTCTTCGATTTTGGAGCAAGCAATCTTGTTGGGACTGTTTTCTCGAATGTGAGTAAAGGTTGGGCATGTTTGCTAGTCTACCTTGCCACGAAGCACAGAGGTTGACACACAGGGACTTTTCCAATTATCCAGCAGTGGTACTGTTCCTTTACCCTGTGGGTAATAATATGGTAGCTAGACCTTCAAAATTTATGTGTCTAAACTTTGTTAGTGCTGTTTCTTTGCTATTCTTTTACCTTTCTGGTCAGAGCGATGTAGTGGGAGCTGTAAGCTTCACGTGCTCAACTTTGGCAGAGAACTTTGGCAAAGTGATCTGTGGTACCCATGAGTTATTGTTGCGTGTGGGAAGTGGGTGATTGAACAGTAAGATTCATCATGTGCTTTCTACTTCACCAGAAAGTCTTCGACAGAATGCCCATAATTTCTGCAAAGCTGAGTGTGCGTGTGACAGGTGCTGACAAGGCTAGAAAAGTAGGTGCCTCTTCGATTTCTGAGATCGGCCCTCGTGGTCTCTGAGCAGCCCAGCTTTTGAGAAAAGCGAGCGCCTCTTCGATTGATTCGGAGAACGGTGCCTCACCGATTTTTGAGAAAGCAATCATGCTGGGGGTCTGACTCTCGAGATTCGGGGAGCAGTGTCTCTTCGATTTTTGAGAGAAAGTAATCATGTTGGGAGAGTGGCTCTCGAGATTCGGAGGGCGGTGCCTCTTCGATTTTGGAGCAAGCAATCTTGTTGGGAGTGTTTTTCTCGAATGTGAGTAAAGGTTGGGCATGTTTGCTAGTCTACCTTGCCACGAAGCACAGAGGTTGACACACAGGGACTTTCCAATTATCCAGCAATGGTACTGTTCTTTACCCTCTCTTCGATTTTTAAGAAAGTAGTCATGTTGGGAGTCTGGCTCTTTAGATTCGGAGGACGGTGCCTCTTCGATTTTGGAGCAAGCAATCTTTTGGGAGTGTTTTCTCGAATGTGAGTAAAGGTTGGGCATGTTTGCTAGTCTACCTTGCCACGAAGCACAGAGGTTGACATACATGGACTTTCCAATTATCCTCCAGCAGTGGTACTGTTCCTTTACCCTTGTGGGTAATAATATGGTAGCTAGACCTTCAAAATTTATGGGTCTAAACTTTGTTAGTGCTGTTTCTTTGCTATTCTTTTACCCTTCTTGGTCAGAGCGATGTAGTGGAAGCTGCAAGCTTCACGTGCTCAACTTTGGCAGAGAACTTTGGCAAAGTTATCTATGGTACCCATGAGCTATTGTTGCGTGTGGGAAGTGGGTGATTGAACAGTAAGATTCATGTGTTTTCTACTTCCCCAGAAGTCTTTGACAGAATGCCATAATTTCCGCAAAGCTGAGTGTGCGTGTGACAGGTGCTGACAAGGCTGGAAAAGTAGGTGCCTCTTCGATTTCTGAGATCGGCCCTCGTGGTCTCTAGGGAGCCCAGCTTTTGAGAAAGCGAGCGCCTCTTCGATTTCTGAGATCGGCCTTCGTGGTCTTTGAGCAGCCCAACTTTTGAGAAAGCAAACGGCTCTTCGATTTCTGAGATCAACCCTCGTGATCTCTAAGCAGCCCAACTTTTGAGAAAAGCAAACGCCTCTTCGATTTCTGAGCAGGCGCCTCTTTGATTTCTGAAGCTCCGTCGAGTGCAGATTTTTATAGAGGCTGGCATTAAGTTCCAAAGCACACTTGAATCTCCACCAGTAGAAGCTTCATTCTTGCACTTCTAAGATCTTGATTTGTCCGACCTCTTCTCTCTTCAACACCTTTGAAAATGTCTGGCCCCTCCGACCGTCGTTTTGACTTGAACCTTGTTGAAGAGGCAGCCCCGCCTTCTCCAGACAACATATGGCGCCCATCCTTTGTCTCCCCAACTGGTCCTCTTACCGTTGGGGATTCCGTGATGAAGAATGATATGACCGCTGCGGTGGTGGCCAGGAACCTTCTCACTCCCAAAGATAACAGACTACTTTCCAAACGGTCTGATGAGTTAGCTGTTAAGGATTCGCTGGCTCTCAGTGTTCAGTGTGCAGGTTCTGTGTCTAATATGGCCCAACGCCTATTTGCTCGAACCCGCCAAGTTGAATCATTGGCGCTGAAGTGATGAGTCTCAAACAGGAGATTAGAGGGCTCAAGCATGAGAATAAACAGTTGCACCGGCTCGCACATGACTATGCTACAAACATAAAGAGGAAGCTTGACCAGATGAAGGAAACTGATGGTCAGGTTTTACTTGATCATCAGAGATTTGTGGGTTTGTTCCAAAGGCATTTATTGCCTTCGTCTTCTGGGGCTGTACCGCGTAATGAAGCTCCAAATGATCAACCTCTGATGCCTCCTCCTTCTAGGGTTCTGTCCAGTACTGAGGCTCCAAATGATCCCCCTCCGGTGCCTTCTCTTTCTGGGGCTCTACCGACTGCTGAGACTTCTCCTAAGCAACCTTTGTGAAGGCTCCCTCTTGTGTGTTTATTTTGACTCATGTATATGTACATATTTGTAGCTTATCGGGGATATCAATAAATAAGCTTTCCTTCATTTCAACGTATTGTGTTAAATACACCAAAGCCTTCTTCGCTAAGTTCTTTTTGAATTTTCTTTTGTTGAAGCTTGTATGTTGAAGCTTTCTGAGTGGAGCATGTAGGTTGGGGTAGTGTTCCCTTAAATTTCCCGAGTGAGGAAAACTTTCTTGGTTGGAGACTTGGAAAATCCAAGTCACTGAGTGGGATCGGCTATATGAATCTTAGAACGCCATTGTGCTCGATCCTGTGTCATGTCCTTCGTTAGATCCAAGTACTCTAAGTCTTTTCTTAGAGTCTCTTCCAAAGTTTTCCTAGGTCTTCCTCTACCCCTTCGGCCCTGAACCTCTGTCCCATAGGCGCATCTTCTAATCGGAGCGTCAGTAGGCCTTTCTTTGCACATGTCCAAACCACCGTAACCGATTTTCTCTCATCTTTCCTTCAATTTCGGCTACTCCTACTTTACCCCGGATATCCTCATTCCTAATCTTATCCTTTCTCGTGTGCCCACACATCCAACGAAGCATCCTCATCTCCCGCTACACCCATTTTGTGTACGTGTTGATGTTTCACCGCCCAACATTCTGTGCCATACAGCATCGCCGGCCTTATTGCCGTCCTATAAAATTTTCCCTTGAGCTTCAGTGGCATACGGCGGTCACACAACACGCCGGATGCACTCTTCCACTTCATCCATCCAGCTTGTATTCTATGGTTGAGATCTCCATCTAATTCTCCGTTCTTTTTGCAAGATAGATCCTAGGTAACGAAAACGGTCGCTCTTTGGTATTTCTTTCTTGATCTCCGATCCTCACCCCTAACTCGTTTTGGCCTCCATTTTGCACTGAACTTGCACTCCATATATTCTGTCTTTGATCGGCTTAGGCGAAGACCTTTAGATTCCAACACTTCTCTCCAAAGGTTAAGCTTTGCATTTACCCCTTCCTGAGTTTCATCTATCAACACTATATCGTCTGCGAAAAGCATACACCAAGGAATATCATCTTGAATATGTCCTGTTAACTCATCCATTACCAACGCAAAAAGGTAAGGACTTAAGGATGAGCCTTGATGTAATCCTACAGTTATGGGAAAGCTTTCGGTTTGTCCTTCATGAGTTCTTACGGCAGTTTTTGCTCCTTCATACATATCCTTTATAGCTTGGATATATGCTACTCGTACTCCTTTCTTCTCTAAAATCCTCCAAAGAATGTCTCTTGGGACCCTATCATACGCTTTTTCCAAATCTATAAAGACCATGTGTAAATCCTTTTTCCCATCTCTATATCTTTCCATCAATCTTCGTAAGAGATAGATTGCCTCCATGGTTGAGCCCCTGGCATGAACCCGAATTGGTTGTCCGAAACCCGTGTCTCTTGCCTCAATCTATGCTCAATGACTCTCTCCCAGAGCTTCATTGTATGACTCATTAGCTTAATACCCCTATAGTTCATGCAATTTTGTACGTCGCCCTTATTCTTGTATATAGGCACCAAAGTGCTCGTTCGCCACTCATTTGGCATCTTCTTCGTTTTCAAAATCCTATTGAAAAGGTCAGTGAGCCATGTTATACCTGTCTCTCCCAAAACTTTCCACACTTCGATTGGTATATATCGTCTGGGCCTATTGCTTTTCTATGCTTCATCTTCTTCAAAGCTACAACCACTTCTTCCTTCCGGATTCGACGATAAAAGGAGTAGTTTCTACACTCTTCTGAGTTACTCAACTCCCCTAAAGAAGCACTCCTTTCATGTCCTTCATTGAAAAGATTATGAAAATAACCTTTCCATCTGTCTTTAACCGCGTTCTCTGTAGCAAGAACCTTTCCATCCTCATCCTTGATGCACCTCACTTGGTTTAGGTCCCTTGTCTTCTTTTTCCCTTGCTCTAGCTAGTTTATAGATATCCAACTCTCCTTCTTTGGTATCTAGTCGTTTATACATATCGTCGTAAGCCGCTAACTTAGCTTCTCTGACAGCTTTCTTCGCCTCTTGCTTCGCTTTTCTATACCTTTCACACCATTTTCATCGGTCCTCTCCTTGTATAAGGCTTTACAACATTCCTTCTTAGCCTTCACCTTTGTTTTGTACCTCCTCATTCCACCACCAAGATTCCTTTTGGTGTGGGGCAAAGCCCTTGGACTCTCCTAATACCTCTTTTTGCTACTTTTCGGATACAACTAGCCATGGAATCCCACATTTGGCTAGCTTCCCCCTCTCTATCCCACACACATTGGGTGATTACCTTCTCTTTGAAAATGGCTTGTTTTTCTTCTTTTAGATTCCACCATCTAGTTCTTGGGCACTTCCAAGTCTTGTTCTTTTGTCTTACTCTTTTGATATGTACATCCATCACCAACAAGCGATGTTGATTAGCCACGCTCTCTCCTGGTATAACTTTGCAATCCTTACAAGTTATACGATCCCCTTTCCTCATTAGAAGAAAATCTATTTGTGTTTTTGACGACCCACTCTTGTAGGTGATCACATGTTCTTCTCTCTTCTTAAAGAAGGTGTTGGCTAAGAAGAGATCATCATATGCCATTGCAAAATCCAAGATAGCTTCCCCATCCTCGTTTCTCTCCCCAAAACCATGGCCACCATGAAAACCTCCATAGTTGCATGTCTCCCTGCCCACGTGTCCATTTAAATCTCCTCCTATAAATAACTTCTCCGTCTGAGCAATTCCTTGCACCAAGTCTCCAAGATCTTCCCAAAATTTCTCCTTCGAACTCGTATCCCAACCCTACTTGAGGTGCGTACGCACTAATCACATTGATAAGTTCTTGTCCTATTACAATCTTGATTGCCATGATTCTATCTCCTACCTCTTGACATCTACAACATCTTGTACCAAGGTCTTGTCCACGATGATGCCAACACCGTTTCTCGTTCTATTTGTGCCCGAATACCAAAGTTTAAACCCTGAGTTTTCTAGATCCTTTGCCTTACTACCAACCCACTTAGTTTCTTGTAGGCACATAATATTTATCCTTCTCCTCACCATAACTTCCACTACTTCCATAGATTTTCCCGTTAAGGTTCCTATATTCCACGTTCCTAAACGCATTTTGCTCTCTTGAACTCTACCCTTCTGTCCTAGCTTCTTCACCCTCCCCCGTCTAATAGGATCAAAGTACTTCTTTTGTGTGTCCCGGGTAAAGTTGATAGGAGCATATGCTCCCAAACAACTTTGAGTGGAGTCGTTCGAAAAGAAGTTTCTATGGCCCCCTTGCTCATTTAACACTGCATCCGGGTGCCGATGGAGATACAGCGACCCTTGCTCACTTATCACTGTGCTCGGGCCACACAGCGCGCCACTTACGGGTGACGCCCTAGCTTTAGCGCGATTTTGTTCTGGATTCATTTTCATAAGGATTCGACGTGATCATGGAGTGCCGGCTGTCGACTACCTGACGCCCTCCCCCTCCTCCTTTATCCGGGCTTGGGACCGGCCATGTAAGACATAGGCGGAGTTAAAGCTTCCCATTAGTAAAGTAAAATAAATAGGATACATTTGGGTGCGCACACAACAATAATGAGTACTTGAAGAACTTCCATCATTCATGAGCTAACATGAAACGCAGAACTTACTTTATGAATTCGTAAAATACGAGGGGCACTTAGTTTCCCTTGAGTGAGGATCTGAACAGTTGAACCTTCACATGGATGTAGATAAAAACTGCACTATAAAAAAAAATTGGGCTTTACCATGCCCAGACTGGTTCATTCATTTGAGTAGACGATAAGTATCAGAAAGAAGGCAACCGGAAAAAAAATAACAGACCCCTAGTAGAAGTGAATATCTCTGAAATTATTCCAGCAATAATTTACCTGGCCTCCTTCTGTGCCAAAAGTTATGCAATGAGGATTTCCCATACTAACACAGGTTACATTCCAGGTTACTCCATCTACATTCAGACCCGACTTAACAACAGATTGATCTTGTTTGCAGGCAGTCTTGTAGGTACGTCTGAAGCCTTAAGAATTGGTTCCCCCATATCAACTTTAACCTGTAATTAAGAAAATTGATGTCTGCTATAGTAAATATTAACATCCAATACTCAACGCATGATGGATCATCCAGAGCAACAATTGCAAAAGTCACATCACATGCTTTACAAAATGTTGGATGTGCTCAAAGCATATCAATCTGAAATAGTTTACTTGAACTGAAACATAATATAAACAAGAATATACCTTCCCATCTTCTTGAATTTCCGGAATAATTAGACCAGCACCAGTATGCACCTTAAAGCTGCAATTGTTCACACAGATTGTTGTTGTTAGAAATTTACACACCTATCAGTGCAAGACCGAATAGATATTTATTTTCAATGTTAAATGCAACAAAAACTAAAGCAAACAATGTAATATATAACCAAGCATTGATAAACGAAAATGTTTATCAGTACATGGAACCAGCTTTACCATACCTATGCCGTCCCTGCAAATTCTCGAGCTCGGCAATGAATCTGGCAAAACACCGGACTCCATTACCACACATCTACAAAACACAATTTAATATCCAATTTCACAAGTTTTAAACACCAATACTACCATTCAATACAATGCAGCAATCAACTATCC